ACTCTTTCCTCTATTTCTCTTACCCACATCTTACAGGTCCTTTAAAATCTACTCCCTTCCATTCACTCAGTGGACGTTTGTTCATGCTGTGAAGCGTGAGCTCCAAAGGGTGCCTTGGGTGTCCTTTCCAGGCAGTTTACAAAAAGATGACACTATCAGTTGTATTCCACATTTAGCCTAGTTGTGGCTCCACAGTGGGGGAAATCTCATTTTGCTTCAGTTGACACATCATTTTTTCCCACTTTTGACTGCCTCCAACTTTAATATAATAAGTGGATCAGCCCTTCACTCCTGAGTTACACCTCCATCCCACGTAATCAATCCTAGTTTAGATGTTATCTCTACTGGGCCTATGACACTGCATAAGGTTATAACGAAAGTAACGAATATATACCCAGAGGAAAAACTCAGTTATAATCACAAGTGAGTCTCATAACTGAGGCAGTCATAAATTATGTTGCATAATGTTCTTGTTCTTAAAATCATAGAACTATTAATGTTTGAGTGCGTTAATTATTTTGCTTCACGCTGTGCAGGCAGCCAAGAGATAACGGCTTCCTTTTAGTTTAAAAAAAAAAAAAATGCTGCTCAAGTGCTTGGTTTGCTTTCAGCCCATATTTCTTTTTTTGACCATCTTTTTGTTACCCAGCATCTTCCCCGTGTTGTTTTTGCCAGTTAGGCATCAATGCAGATGGGACGAAATAAAGAATTGGCATCGCCATCATTTCACCAGTCCACTCAACCTCTTGTCTCAGCCTCTTTCTTCCCATACTCATGGGAAAGTGATGGAGGGGTGGGAAGCGAGGTGACAGAGGGTGATGTTAGGGAGTGGGACGGGGATTAGACGAGCAAAGGACTTAATACAAGGAGTGGGAAGGGTGGGGAGACACAGAGGATGTTCAGAGTCACTGTAACCCACATGAGTGGGAACGAACCAGTCTTTCACCAGTCCCTAGTGGGGGGTGCAGGACCACACATATTCATGCCAGAGAAAAGAAAAAAAAATGCATTCGGGTAAAAAATTACCTAATAACCTCTGTAGAAGTTTGGTGGGTGAGGCAACACAAAGAGGACTGGTGTTACCTGTGGCGTCGTCTTGCATCTGCTGCCTTTCTCTTCTGTTAGTGCAGAGAATCAGTCGGTTGCAAAAGCCCACGTTTCATCGGCTGAAGGCAGCCAAAGGCTTACTGCCTTTTCACCATATTTTACTTGGTGGGTATAGAAGGATGCATCACTACTGTTCTTGCATTCCAAGCGACTTAAAAATTTCATAAAAATAACTTTGCTTTCAACAAGTCAGTGGACTTTCATTTAATCTTATCTGACTGTGCTCTAGAAATTAAGAAACAAAAGAGAATTGGGGGCTAGTTGTGTATATCGTTGAACTGAAATGCAAGAGGAAGGGAGAACATTTCCTTTTCACTGAGGCAAACTGCTGAGAAAAGTAAAAGGAGTTACACTCTTTTCGCTGCTTCTTACCCAGAACGTAGATCTCGCTGTTGAGCACGGCCGTGCTGAATCGGTACTTTGAGTACTTCATGGGGGCCTGCGCTGCCCACTGATCTTGGCTGGGGTCGTAGTTCAGCAGCTTGTTGCTTAATCGATCGGGTTCCTCATCAGGAAGGTCCATCTGTGTGAAATTACGACAGCCAGTATAATAACGTACCACCTAGCGACCTTCGTGAGTACCTGAACGCAGTCAATCAAAGCAGACAGCCGAGGAGGCACATGGAGGTTAACTGTAGTGACTCACTCGCAAACCCACCAAGTCCCGTGACTTGGGGTTATAAGTACACTGTCAATATCGGAGGAATTTCTATTCTACGGTAATGGGGCTAAGGCGTTGGGTTATAGCAAACAGTCTGTGACCTGAGCAGTGAGACAATACGTACGGCATGTCTAAAACAATGAAGCCCTGCAAAGCCTTAGAAACGAGCTCTTTTGAATAGTATTTAAAGTATAATTTTACTTTACCAGGCTTTATAGTGGCGGATTAAATAATATTTGTGAGGAGCTAATTTTAATAATTTATAAAGCATTTTTCTTTATAATATCTTTCGAATCCAAGTGGAACAAAATTACAAAAAACATTTGAGTGTTTTAGTAATGAGAGTATTTTTATACCATAATATAGGAGTGGTCTGAATGTAATTTTAAAGATACATGGATTAATAGAAATTATTCGCAGTTATTTTTATGTACGTATATATATATATATATATATATATATATATATATATATTTAATGACTAGGGAAAGCAGAAGTCGAATACGCACAGATGTAGTAGCTTTTCCTCCTCCTGAACTTCAGGTGAAGCAATATTGTTTGTCTACAGCGTGTTAGGAACTTCTGTGACTTCAAGCTAAAGAGGCTTAAGTGTCTTTTGCTTTTTGTTTTGGATGCAGGTGTTCAACAGAGAAATAATTTCCATACTTATGAAAGCTGTATGCAGTTAGTTTTAGCTCAGGGTTATAATCACTGTAGTGCAATCACTCCCCCATGCTTTCTTGCAATTTAATGTATTGTATTCCGAACGGACTAGCAAAAGCTTTCGTTATGCAGTAAATACTGACGTGTTTGAAGACATTATAAATTAGGAAATACTGACTTTATTGTTTTAATTTTCTTTCTAATTTAAGTACTTAATATTTGCTTTAGTGGAAAAAAGCAAAGAAAAGCTTTTCTTTGGAGCATATTCATGCAAAATTAACTATGTAAATGAATAGTTCTGAAAAAGCTTTATTACAAATAATTTGTCAGGTTTCAGCTACTAACTGTGATTAAATCTAAGCTACTTTTTGATACATAGCGTGAATTTTAAAATGTATTAACTGTGAAGTTTGTTATTAAAACAAATATGATATATCATAAAAGGCAAAAATTTAAGCTTATGAAATGATTTAAAAAGCACCAGTTTTATCATGAAGCAAATCTGGCGAAAGAAGAAATCATATAGGCTAAAATAAACTTAGTTTATGTCATGGGGACAGAAAATGAGCTGGTAAGATTAATCTTTATTAGAAAGACTGGTTGGCAGGGCAGAAGGCAGCTGGAGTGAAACTTCTGTGAGAGCCCCAAGGCGCCCGGAGGGACACCAAGGAGAAGAGAAAGGGCCCCTGTGGTCCCACTCCACTGACTTCTCCATCCTGTCTTGCGTCCCTTCGCTGGGCTTCAAGACAGTCTCTGGTTTCTCTGTCTGCTGATGCCCAGCAAAGACATGAAGAGGTTAAAATTGCAACATACTTTGGTGGAAATGGTTGTGCCATCACAGGATGAACATTCTGGTTTCCCTCTTAGAGTAAGAACTTTAATATGAAAAAGACCTAAGAATTCCTTGCCTCAGGTCATACAGCTATAAAACAGAGAGAAGTGGGATGAGGATCCAGCTTCTTTGCCTCCTACTTAGATGCTCCTTACAGATAACCCCTCAGCATAAGCATCCTTCATAGTCAGCAAGAATGGGAAGGGTTATGAAGAACACGGCACAAATACTGAATGAAGTCATGCCTATGAATAACACACTTTAAAATTCATTCTCCTAAGCTGCTTTAACACTTTAAAATCTTCCATTTAATATTCTATAACATAAAAGGCATTTTACTGAAATGTGAGTCACACTCTTTTAGTATTCAACAACTACAACATTTTTCAACAGAGCAGCCAGACTCAGCACAGCCATGCCAGTTAGGTAAACAGGAAATTTCTTAACCTGAGGGGTCCAGCCTCCAATCACGTAAAGTTTATTATTCACTGTTACTACAGCATGACACGCCAACTGTAGTGGAAGGGGGGACACCCTTTTCCAAGTGTCCCTTTCTACAGAGTACTTATCAACACAGTTTGTAATAAGATACTGGTTTTTAATTTTCATCTGTCCTCCTATGACGTAGAGGTCGTTATGGATGGTGCCCAGAGCGTAGAGCTCTCGAAATTCTGTTGTGCATAACTTTTCCCAAAACTGGTTTCCTCTATCATGATACCTGTAAATTAACAGAGAGAGAACCCAGAATTAGATTTAATATAAAAACAACTTGCCAAAAAAACACACTTGTTTCTTTTCCAATGAAAAACTATGATTTGGTTCTTCTAATTGGAGAAGAAAAAACCATTAAGATAGTGATACAGGTTTGTGTTTTTTGGGGAAAGGAAATGCTGAACAAAATATAATGTACACAGAAACAGTCAACCACACCTACCTAGAGAATTTTAGAAAAAAACAATATATTGAAAAAGTATAGATTATCCAGGGACTAGCCTTCATTTCCTAATTCTGGGAAAGAAAATTAAAAATAAGAAAGTCTTTCAGCAAATCATTTGCTAAAAGAGAATATTTAAAAATAAGCATAAAAAATGTCTTATTCTGTTGACTACAAGTCTCATTTTAATACTACATTAAAGAAATCTGTTTAGAGCAGAAAATCTGGAAATATTTAAATTCAGATTTCTAATGGGATGATGCAGGATATATAGAATTTTAAGGATTGTTCTTGTGGTTCTAACTGGCTTAGAACAGAGTCAAGAGCATGCTAGTGTATAAAAACCCACCTGTAGGTGTCTGCTGGGCATTTCACAACTATTTTAATCTACTAGGTATGGTAATTTCAGTAATTTCTACCACGAATAATTATGTTGGTCTGAGAAGAGGCTTGGGAGCAGAGCAGGGACACAGCTGATGTGGCCTCTCAGCACCTCCTGGAGTCCAACACATTAAGTAATTATCTGAGTGTGGTGGTGCGCGCGCGCGTGTGTGTGTAGCATTACATGGTCACCAAGTGGATGAGTCTGTGCCCATCTTCTGTCTTGCCTCTTGACAATGGCAAGTCCATTTTCTCGAATCATGATCAGGACAAATAGTCTAAGGAGGACAAAAGTACCCATGGGGACAGTGGGATAAAATATGTGAAATTAGTTCTGTCCTAGAAAATCCAGAAAGTATAATTGGAATTCAAAACTAAAACAAAACAAAAAACAAAACCCAGAAAAAATATGGAAAATAAGAAAAAAAATTTGTTGTTTGGAAACAAATTTTGCATCAAACATGTGACAGTTAATCATATTACAGAACTTTTCCCCATTGTTCTAGGCCAACTCTTACGTTCTTCCCCAGAGACACCGTCTTCCTTCAGGCTGGACAGGGAAGTTGGAAGATGATGCTTTTTTCCTGCAGGCATGTCTGCCTTGTCACAAACTGAATGCAGACATTTATCAAACCTGATGATAGCTGTCTTTCTTCTATGTAATTTTAGGTAGGAAACCAAAGTCCCTAGCAGCACAGGTGATATTTTCACCACTCTTTTTAATTGTTCTGGATTTTAGAGGGGAAGGGAGAATTAGGTGTCTACAGGTGGGGGCTACTGAAGCAAAGACAATGAATATATAAATAGAACTAAAAAATGGGTTTTGGTTTTCTGAGGCACGGTTTGAGAAAATAGGCCAAGAGCAAAATAAATCCCACGAAGGATGGGAAGCACATGTTTGCTGGGCGACTTGCTAATTGGATTTTTGTTTTAACATTTTGAATTAAAAATGGGGAGAGGGCTTCCCGGGTGGCGCAGTGGTTGAGTGTCCGCCTCCCGATGCAGGGGACGCGGGTTCGTGCCCCGGTCCGGGAAGATCCCACATGCCGTGGAGCGGCTGGGCCCGTGAGCCATGGCCGCTGAGCCTGCGCGTCCGGAGCCTGTGCTCTGCAACGGGAGGGGCCACAATGCGAACCCCCCCAAAAAAAAAAAAATGGGGAGAGAAAATGCCCAGATGAAACTATAAAACTTATTATTTCGATATGACATAAAGAAGAAAATAATAGTGGCAAAAGCATTCAGTGTTCACAGAGGTTGACAGTTTAAAGACAACACTTACATCCTCAGCTGTTTGTCTACCAAAGTACGAGAGAGAGTTAAAAGAGATGGAAAGGTGTATTTTTTTAAAAAAGAAACAACCTACTATAATGCTGATCTACTTACTCTTTTAAGTCAAAAAGAAATATATCTGCATGGAAATGTGTAAACTACAGAGTAGAGGCACGC